AAGGATGACATCCTCTGGGGTCCCCAGAGGATGTCATCCATAAAAATAAAAAAGTGTGGCCTAATGGATGAGGAAATGAATCATCTCCACAATCTTATCTTTTCTTCCTTTGTTCATACGTGACCTATATTTCACCAGATTGGCCCATTTGTGACATATGCTGAAATTTTAATTAATTAATGAATTTATCAATAAATCACCACCAAAATCAAATCAATCATTCCTTGGGCCATTTGTGATCAATCGTGACATCAACATTTGTACAAAACTCATGAATAATTTAACTCACTAATTAATTTATCACTTAATTAATCAATGTATCATCACCAAAATCCTATCATTTCTTCCTTTGTCCATTTTTGACTTATCATTAAAATTTCATTAAATTGGCCCATTTGTGACCCATCCCGAAAAGGTTCATTAAATATGTACATAATTCATTTCTAATATTACTAACTTCTTAAATTATTACTCAGTTTATGGATCATCATCCATATCTAATAATTGCTTCCTTAGGCCACCAAAACTTGGATCAAAATCCCTTTACTTTTTGCATAATGCTCTCACCAGACAAACAAACGGAAACGAAAACTTAACCTCCTCCATTGTCGGAGGTGATAAAAAGATAAAAAAAAATGTTATGGGTGGGGTATATCTCAACATGGGAGGCTACGTGATCCCTCAAGTGGCGCCCCCTTCAAAGGTGCTAGGACACGTGACCCAACCGGATAGCCCACTCAGTGTCTCATCGGAGTTTCAAGGCTATTGAGGCATACATATAGGTTTTTTTGTTTCGCAGCGATCATATTACTGTAATACAGTATGTACACGGAACAGAGATGGGCGGCTTATGTGGTAGAGTAGCTCAGAAGCTATAATAGCAGGGTATGGCGTGTCAGCTGTGTCCGGGATCCGCCATCAAATCCAGCATTGTTTTCACTTGTCTCAGTCATCATCTCTCTCATTATCATCATCACTATCATCATCATCATCATCGTCGTCGTCATCGTCATTCTCAGTCAAACTCCTGCTCGTCGTTGCTGTGATGGGGACTGTCGTGACGCTAGACGCAGCTATGAAACACAAGAAGGGAGTTCAGTACAAACGCCGCGGTTAGTATCCGTGGCCCAAACCGGACCTTCTCTAGATACATAATCAGACATAAGTACTGAAGTAACGGATTGAGATAAAAGATATCTTAAATTACATTTTATACTTAAGAAATGAATCTACGTTAGACGTAAAATACGGAAAATTACCATTAACTTTGAAGAAGCATCTGCGTTTGGAGAGCCTTCCATGGCCATGATTTTGGTATATATAGTTCCTTTTGGAACACAACGCCATTAGGGTAGTATACTTAAACATTTTCAACAGTCATCACACACCACGTGGAAGAGGTGTCTTTTGAGATAACTACAAGCTTCAGAGTGAGGACACTCTTGCTCACAGTTCTCGTCTGGTGATTTGTTGCAGAAACGAAATGCTGTGAGAACAGAACAGCCATTTTGTGCTTTTTTTATTAACCCCATTGGACACCTGTCGCGTGAATCGAAATGTGCAATCTGGACCAATTCTGTTAAGCTTTTAGGACGAAAGGGACAATTTTCCACGAAACAGGATTGTTACCCTTGTTGAAGAAATACCGTGCCGCCCACAAGAAGTAATTGTAGTTCGAGGTAGAGACAGATTGTTAGACAAGGGGACTCTAATGCACACATGTTGATGCTAATTTTGTGTCAAATTAATGAAAGTTGTAACTGCCCTTTTTAACATGAACATCTTTTATCTCTGTGAAAATCACTGTGGAACATCAGATTTGAGCGGACGCATGCTCTTAATTTGAATTAATGGTATAAAATACGGATATCGTTACGGGTGTTTTCTACTTTCTGTCCAGTGAGACGATTAAGATTTGGTGTCCGTAGTAAAATCACTATTTAAAATAGTTCACAGCTCTGAGGTGATTCTTTGTAAACAAAAACACGTGAAATTCATGGTGGGACAACCATTTTTGACCAATTGTGTAGTTTTGAGTAGGATAACTACCACTAGTGCCTTTTATCATATGCTTTCAATTCGAGAATAAGAAACAGAGGTAACCTACAAGGTAGTCAAGATTTATTTGAATAAAATGCAGTATTAGGCCCTTTTTGCCTGTCTGAGTAATTTTTGGGTTTTTATAATTATTATTTGTTTGGGGTGGGGGGGGGGTAGGTGTATTAAAAACTCTTAGCAGTAATTTGCATGCGTTGCTATTGCTGGTTATGGTCAACATTTCAACTCTCACCCAATATAAATCAGTAGCGGTTCACACAACTAAAATTTTCTGCCTGTTTTATGAACAGAAATACATTGCCTTAGTCCATTACCGACAAGTAGTTATACTCTATTTCAAACGAACATTTATGGGAATACGTTGAAATGTAGCACGGTTTTCATTGTGAAAGATAAGATCAAGTTTCGGTTCAAAATTCTTTGTTGGGACAAGCATATGACAATAATGTTTTCTAAACAAAAACTTACACGAATGAAGCGGATCCTCTTCTTTCGTGACCTGAAATGTTAACGGATCATTGTTAACCACATATTCAGCCACTTTATGTGCATGCGCGTTTGATCTTCAAAAAAAGAAGCAAATTGCCCTTTATTTCCAAGGTATACAATTTACATTGTACAAAACCATCGATAAAAAGCAGTTTTGAGATCAAAACTCCCAAAATCAAGAGAGAGAATAGTTTAAGGCTCATGTAGTGTAGAACAGTTTCATTAGCTATGTTATTATAATAGACTTGTGAAGATTCTTTTGTCTATAGCTATTTATATTAGTTTGATCTTACCTTGTCATACCTGTCACAACCTCATTCCCTGATGAAATCTGACTGCAAGCAGATGAAATATTGGATGGTAAGATCAAACTAATATAAATAGCTATAGACAAAAGAATCTTCACAAGTCTAGTTTAAGGCTCGTTTTACTTTACAAGAATGACTATCAAACTAGAATCTCATATATATATAAATCAAAAACAGGTGTATGGATTATAATTCTGGGGACGGCTTTCGATAACATACCATGGAGATCAACGATAAATTCGAAAAGAAAAAAAAACACTTTTTCTTATTCCAAGTATAACGAGCTTTTCATGCCTGTGGCAATCTTTTTAAATGCCAACAACGGTCCATGAAACCACAGAGTCGTGAAATGACCATATAAGTACAGGCGACTTTTACTTGTAGGGATTAAAACAATTGAACATATATTTGTTAGTCTGGATGATTGGTGCTATACATGTATATTGTCCAAATTGCTCAGAATGTGGAAAAAGCATGAAACTTGGCAGAAATGTTCTTTGGACTATGCTGATCATTTTCAAGGGTAGTGCCGTTGCTAGGGAAGTGAATTACCTTAGTAACAAGCTCATCAGACCGTTCTTGTCCAGTTTAAATGATTTAGAAATGCTAATAACAAGGTTTCAGGGCATTTAAACTATAGCTAGACGATTTTAATGTCACTAACACCCAATTAAATTAACCTTAGCCACAGTTGCTAGGCAGCATATTGCCCTGGCAACAAGCTTTAAAAGTTGCGTTAGTGTATTAAATAAGGCAAATCTATGAAACTGAATAGGAACTGTACTTTTGAGCAAGATGTTCATACTTTTAGTCCAGTAAGTTGAAACAACTGTGTGGAGTTAACACACATCCGATCAAAAACATTGCCCCTGAAAATACTTAAAGGCAGCATGTTCACAGTTAGTAACCAGTCAGAGCTGGTTCATATATGTTCATCTCGCAAGACTACTCTTCTTTTATATTGTTGTAGAGCAGCCTTGGTGGAAGGAAGATACGGCATCTAAAGGCCTTTGTGTGTGCCCAGAAACTTTTGAACTTCATTAATTAACAGAAAGAATTAAAATGGAACCATGAAGGTGTTTTTAAGTTACTTGGTAGAGAATAAAAAAACAATGCGAAAAAACTTTTTAGATAATAAACTGAACAAGAAAGGTCCAATTAGCCTGTTACTAAGGTAAATTATTTCCCTAGAAACGGTTGCTAAGCAACGCTTTGAAAATTTTGGCACTACCCTTCGAAATGATCAGCATAGCCCAAAGAATATTTGTGTCAAGTTTCATGCATTTTCCATCTTCTGAGCAATTTTTGCACCAAGCATCTAGACTATGTAGGCCTTAAGGCTGTTTTAAGGGTCATTCCACAAAGATAGTCCAATCTGTAAGTAACGTCTCAACACACTGGGCAAACTCCTTGGATAATCGATTAGTTTTAACACAGATGTCCACTACGAAAACCTAATCCTCAGAGTCAAATTAGGACAACGGGCAAGCTAAAAGTCAGGATCCAGTGCGTGTTATACCTTTATATTGGAAAATAATTTTCCTGGGGATTACATGTACGCCACTTTTTACCCGACAAAGTACACCATTACGATAACTTCGTATCTATAAAGCATTTTATTCAGTTCTACGTTCCTAATTGTTGAATCACAATGGAGACAAATGTTGAAGGCTTTTATTAATGATGGTATACATAAAAATTCAAACTCGATGATGGATGAAAAGATGATTTTTTCATAATATTGGTTAGTGTACACCTTGATTACTTTAGAAATGTGTTGAAATTTCGACGGTAAAAAAAAAAAAAAACATTTTGCTAAATGCACATCGGCCAATCAATCATCCAGCTCTCGAAAAAAGAGGACTTGAAAAAAAAAAAAAAAAGAAAACAAAAACAAGCAAATGATTATCAAAGAACCTACCTAGCTGGCACACGGAGTCACTTCAACGGTCATGCACACAACGGACGACACATTGATCCCAACATGACGTACAGGTGACGTCATTATTTCATTGAGGGGCATGTGCGCAAGTCGACCATTATTTTCTTCATTATCATTTTATCAGTTTACATGATACATCGAAAACCTTCACAGAAACATGGTTCATTACACTACCTTTTCATAATATACATAGCCATCTCTGGGTACAAGAACCGAACTCCCGCCTTCACTGATGGCTACCGAGTTAAGCTGACATTGTGTGGTGGCTGTGGCGGAGTTTACTTTGTAATTGAACGACTTGCATCTATTCTCCGCCAAACATTTAACGGTGCATTCTCGGACGCTCTTGACTTGAGTGCGGTCCAGGTCGTCCCCTCCTCTTAAGATGCGGTTGACAGTATTGACGCCGCCAATGTTATCCATTCTGGTCATTTCAACAGTGCGATATGCTGGTTGAACCGAATTCAGTTGGCAAACTGCCGCAAAAAGGAACACCAGGATAAATGAAAACATGGCTTTTAGTCGTTAGTTGTCTGCCACGAAATGCACCAGCTGCTCAGTTTTGCTTGTTTTGATAATGTTTGGATGGCCTTTTAACAGTACACCATAACGCGGACATCGTATAGATACTGGGCTACTAGTTAAGGCTGTCAAATCGGACTCTGCTTGTCATCTAATTTGGAGTAAACTGTACAGAGTGTTTGCTTCCCCAGTCATCAAAGGTCAACACGAGGTTTCGAACGCTATGAAAAGACACCTCCTTGTCCTGTCATTGAGACGCGGCGTCCCTTCACGTGCAGTTTATTGAATAATGTGTCATTAGTCAGTGCAGGTGGCGATCATTGTACGTTCTCCCGTTACCATGGATTGAATTGCTGTATAACCTATCATATCCATTAGCGGTATGGTACACACTGGCTGATGCCATCAGATGCCCTTCTTGTAAACACCTTATAGATGTTAGTTCTTCTAAAGAAGACGTAATGAAGGAAATTGGAGTTGAAGAATACCAGATAATTGATCGTACGCTTGTTCTGATGTCACAAGAGACGTTTTGCTGGGAAATTTGACTCACAGCTACGGTTTATGTATAGTTTGTTGACAGAATTCGACTTTAAGGTGCTGTCGTAGATTAACAATCTAAATCACGGCTATTATTAAGATGGCCAATCTCAACCAGATTTTAATGTTATGTCCTGTTATTGTGAGTTACCCACTGGTCGGTACTGGAGGTCAATGGAAGAAGATGGGACCCGTCCTTTCCCCTTTTCCAAAATAATGACCAATCCAACTGAAAACCCTTGCT